GCATGTTGTTGTGATCACGTGAGCACTACATACTGGATCCAAGCGCTGCTGGATAGAAACACTGGAGCGGAGTCAGTGAACTGCTAATATCGGAGTGCTTATATCGGACATTTTTTATGCAGGCCGATAAAATCCGATACTCGTTTTTTGGCTGATATCGGACCGATATCCGATATCGATATCGGATCGGGACACCCCTAATAAGAGGTGTGGAACTATTATTACATTATGCAACATATATAGAGATTTGTCATTAAATAACTCTTGAGCTTTTATACAATGCTGTAGTTGATCTAGCTATTTTTACTTTTAGATTATTTATGTGTGTATTTATGTCTTTAACTGTACCTGGAACTGGTCCTGCGTGTTGATGTCCCGCACCGACGGGTTTGGGTGGAAGGAGGGGTGGGAGTGGTACCAGCCCACCACGCTGAGGCCCAGGGAGGCCAGCAGGTCACAGGCTTGTGTCTGAGACACCGGGTCCATCTCACACTGCAGACCTGTGCTCACACTGTTACAGGGCTCTGCTGCACACACCTGCACACAACAACACTTTCATCAGTTTCCCTCCTCCGTTAACACGGACCCCCCTCACATCTCCTCTTACCTTCAGCACTTTAGCCTCCTGGCTGAAGGTTCCACCCAGCAGACCGATGACCTCTGCTCGGGACACATGGGCATGCTGGATGCAGAGGAGCAGCACAGAAAGGCTCAGGAACAACACAGTGATATTATTTAGATTTAACAATGGGGTTAAATGTGTGTGAAACACACCATGTCCATGATGAGAAGAGTCTCAGCACACACTACCACCTGGAACGGCTCCTGAGGAGAACAACAAGGGTTTTAAAGGGTTTGTCACGTTCTTATCTTTAAATACAAAACGTCAAAGAAAACATCTGTACTAGGGCTGCAACAACGAATCGATAAAATCAAAAAAACTGATTATTAAAAACGTTGGCAACGAGTTTCATTATCGATTCGTTGTTTCCCACGTTTTATGCGTCCCTCGCCGTGTCGCAGAGCTGTTTACGTCACCCACAGAGCGTTGTCAATGCTGGCTGACCTGAATAAAGTTTAGGAAGAAAAAAAACCTACCTGTAAAGATCCGCCCTCTCTGACTCTCCAGTGGAAAGTAGAGACTTGGAACGTTAAAACAGTTTTTAAAATTGTGTCGTTAGGCCAAGGAGATCCGAAGTTATGATAAAAAGTATATGACACATTTAATTTTTTAAAAAGATGGTCTGATTTGATGCGAGACGAGTTGCGAGGAGGAAATGCGTGCGGGGGGAGGAGGGAGACCTTAAATCCACCGTTTCGTCCTCCTCTTGGGACAAAAGTATAAAACTCTCCATTTTTTTCTGACTGAGGCCCAAAGTTATATGTTGAGCAGCAAAAAGGTTCAGGACGAAGGAAGAAAAAAAACCTACCTGTAAAGATCCGCCCTCTCTGACTCTCCAGTGGAAAGTAGAGACTTGGAACGTTAAAACAGTTTTTAAAATTGTGTCGTTAGGCCAAGGAGATCCGAAGTTATGATAAAAAGTATATGACACATTCAAAGATGGTCTGATTTGATGCGAGACGAGTTGCGAGGAGGAAATGCGTGCGGGGGGAGGAGGGAGACCTTAAATCCACCGTTTCGTCCTCCTCTTGGGACAAAAGTA